ATGCTGAGCGTGTTGATCAGAAGTTTGGTGGTTCAAATCCCTAGTGCCGCATAATGGAGTGAGCTCCCGTTACTTGTCCCAGCTTCTGCCAACCCAGCAGTTTGAAAGCATGTTAAAATGCAAGTAGAAAAATAGGAACCACCTTTGGTGGGAAGGTAACAGCATTCTGTGTGTCTTCGGCATCTAGTCATGCCGGCCACATGACCATGGAGGCGTCTTCGGACAGCGCTGACTCTTCGGCTTTGAAATAGAGAGGAGCACCGCCCCCCTCGAGTTGGGTACGACTAGCATAGAAATGCTCCTTGCTAGAAATTCTTTTCATCACTTTTTTAACATTCTCTTTTTCACCGAGTCATGAAAAATACTTTTAGACTTTGTAAACAACAGAATGGACCAATTTGTTTGTTTGGAGCGCAGTCTGTTCTGCAGATGGTGGGCTCTGGTGCTGTAAATGTTCTTAATTAAAATCAAAGTCTTTATGATCATACCCAGTAATGAAATTGGCACCATCAGCAATAAAGATTTCCCAGTTACGGCGAATCTATGATATGAATAGCACTATGTACATTTGGCATGCACTTTACATTTACCCTAATCCAACAAAACTGAAATGTGGAATATTGTTTTTCCCCCTCCTTACAGTTCTTTCCCTTTAATGAAATGGAGCAAATCTGCTTTGAGAATTAGATCTGGCATATATTCTGTCAATAAACCACTTTGTAACTGGCAGCTAAAGCTGGCTAAATTGAGAATTTAATCTGTCTTGGTTGGAAACACTAAAATAAATAACCTGTTGTTAAAAAATTCTATTTATGTTAAAATAAATGAGTAAATTGTTAAGAGTTACCAAAGGAAACTATTGGTTTTTGTATGTCCCATCTTTTGACTTTACATGGCATTGTTTTCATTTGATATATGCAAGTGCATGAATCAAACCTAGTTTTATAGCTTTTGCATTCTGTTTTTATTGTCTTCTAGCAGCTAATCCATCAACTAAAATTAGTCTTGTAGATCAACATTTATATTCATAGCAAGCAATCCGTGGTACAGATTTACATGATTCCCTGTGTTGTTTTTTTTTTTTACTGTAATAAACTTTTTATATGTAGTTTATTTCCTCTTTGCAAATATAATATCTTGCCTGTAAACAGACTGATTCCTGGATTGCCATGATGATTATGAATAACCATGTTTATATATATGAATAAAAAATTCATAGGTTTATTTCACTCATAAAGTGGGGCTTTACTTGCTCACCTTAAATTGGCCTTTGAAACATCACTGAAAAGTGTGTATGGGTGTGCGGATTTTTATATATTACTTTTCTGTTCAGAAAGCATTGTGGGATTTTGGGGAATAGTGTAATGTATCGAAGGAGAATATAAATCAGGAGTCGCAACTTATGGAGTTTTCGTGAATGTTCCTAAATTTTGAGAGCGTATTAGGGGATGTACTTAGTCACAAAATACCTATTTATCCAAAGGCAAAATAGTAAAGTTTCCAGTCTCCCTTTCAGCTTTTATGAGTCCATGGAGAAGTAACATTATTTGAAATAAAGGTAATGCTTGAACCTGACAGTTTGCTTTGCCATTCAATGTTACTTTTCTGTCTTTTTTGAAAAAGAATCTAAAAAGTAATAAAAACAGGAGTGGGCTTCAAAATCTTTACAAAGGGGTTCTCTGCCCGCTTGCTGGGTGGATGTGGCCATGGTGGGCATGGCCTCCTGTACCATGTCGGGGGGGGGGGGATTTTTGTCCTCCCCGTGTTCTGGAGGCTTTCTTCAAGCCTCTGGGAGGGCAAAAATGGTCCTCCCAGGCTCCGGAGGCTCTCCGGAGGGCAGAAACTGGCTTGTTTCTGGCCTTCCCGAACTTTCAATAGGCCCATTTTTCACCCACCCTGAGCCTCCACGCGCGCACTGCACTTACCTGCATCCAAAACGGGCCGCGTGGAGACTCCTGGGAGGGGCAAGTAGGCTGGCTAGCGGGGTGGGATTTGGAGGTTCTCCAAAATGGCCATAATGTTAGCTACAGGTGAACCCGTAGCAGCCCATCCCTGCTGAGGACCCTACTAGAGTTTTAGGCTATAAGCGTGGGGCAGAATTACCAAGCTTGCTTGTTTCTTGCACCAATGGAAAAGAAGCTACTTGGATTCAGTCCGCTGCTTCCTTTTCAGATCTCCGTCGTTCTATAGCTGCTGCTCTCAAGTTGATAGCAATAATACAGTAGAAGTGTTTCTGCTACAATCCTGCTGGCCTTCCAAAGCTATCCACAAAGCCATTCCACTAGTTGTTTGATGCGATCTGAAGGTCAAATGAGAGTGCTCCAGTGCTCCTTTTCTTGAGATTGAAAATTAAAGTCATCTCTCCTGCTGTGTGTTTCTGTGCTATTTGAACTGGGTTGTGATAGGAAACCTACAGTTGGTAGTAAATTAATAAACCCAATTCAGACTGCCTCTGCACTTCTTACTGATTGGAAAAAAGGGAGGGATACAACTATATAGCTGTCTAACAGCCACAAGTATAAATGCCTTTTTCATGCCATAGATTATTAAAAAAAACAAAAAAAAACCCAACAACTCGGATTTCATACCAAAAGCAGATGTCTTAGTGAATTCTACAGGTGGACTGCTTTGACTTTGAGACTAGCTTGTTCCAAAATTTAGATAAATCTACTTGAAAAAGAGGGACGCGGTGGCTCAGTGGCTAAGACATTGAGCTTGTCAATCAAAAGGCAGTTTGGCAGTTTGAGTCCAGTGGTGAAATTCAATTTTTTTTACAACTGGTTCTGTGGGTGTGGCTTGGTGCGTGTGGCGTGGTGGGCTTGGCAAGGGAAGGATACTGCAAAATCTCCATTCCTACCCCACTCCGGGGTCAGCCAGAGGTAACATTTGCCAGTTCTCTGAACTACTCAAAATTTTCGCTACTAGTTCCCCAGAAGCTGTCAGAACTTGCTGCATTTCACCCTTGTTCAAGTCCCTAGTGCTGCGTAACGAAGTGAGCTCCTGTTACTTGTCCCAGCTTTTGCCAACCTAGCAGTTCGAAAGCACGCAAAAAGGCAAGTAGAAAAATAGGAACCACCTTTTGGTGGGAAGGTAACAGCATTCTGTGTGCTTTTGGCCACATGACCACGGAGAATGTCTTTGGACAGCTCTTCATTTTCATCTTTGAAACGGAGATGAGCACTGCCCCCTAGAGTCGGGAACAACTAACACACATGTACGAGGGGAATCTTTACCTTTACTTTACCTTTACTTGAATAAGAACAAGTTTAAGAACTGAGTGCTGAAATGGGCATGCCGGAAACCAAAAGAGCAGCTCTCCAGGGTGCATGCGTGGGAGCGCCAGAAACCGGAAGAGTAGTTCCCCAGCGAGCATGCACACGCAGGAAAGCTGAGCTTCCAGTTTCCAGCATGCATGGTTCCAGTTTCTGGCATGCATGTGTGCATGAAGACCAGCTGGCTGGCATGCCCTGGAAACCATAAGCTCAGCTTCCAAGCATGTGCATGTGTGCCAGGGAGCTGTTCTTCCGGTTTCCAGTGCTCTCGTGCGCGCGAAGACCAGCTGGCCGGCGCGCATGTGTGCACTGGAACCCAGAAGAGCAATGGGCGATGGATGGCATGCCCGGAGAGATTGCTTTGCGTGCCACTTCTGGCACGTGTGCCATAGGTTCGCAATCACAGGCCTAGGCTTTGCATTCAGCCTAGCCTACTATGCCTTGTATTTGTTGTAGTTTTGATGTCCTCTGCTGAATAACTGCATGTGTATTGATTTTATTCCAAGCTGCTTTGAGTGTCTTACAGAAGAGAAGTGGGGCAGCAGGATGTATTTCAAATAAACAAGGTCAGAGCTAATATTGCTGCAAACATTCCTAAGTGAATTGTCTTAACTGGAGAAAAAAGATTTTTTTTTTTTTAAAAGGGCATAGGTTGTTTGCTCTCTTTGCTATCCTTCCCCCCCCCCCTTTAAAAAAAAATTGGCAAATTGACAGAACATATAGCAGGAATGCAATTGGTGGAAGAGGTGAGAAAATATTCCCTTTCCCTGGGGGAAACATGGAGCACAGGATGAGTCAGGGTCCATTTCCTGTTGCTTCTGTGAATATCAAATGATAATGGAAAATGGCATTAAAATGTAAACGCTACTTTTAGTTACGTCAATTGGATCCCAGATGGGGTGTCTTGATGGCAGGAATGAGAAAGAGAACTGGTTTCTTAATGGTACTGGGTGTTGGTAAGCTCACCTTCTATAAGGTGAAGGTAAAGGTTCTCCTCTAGTCGTCCCGACTCTAGGGGGCGGTGCTCATCTCTGTTTCAAAGCCGAAGAGCCAACGCTGTCCCAAGACATCTCCGTGGTCATGTGGCCATCATGACTAAACACCAAAGGCGCATGGAACGCTGTTAACTTCCCACCAAAGGTGGTTCCTAGTTTTCTACTTGCATTTTTACGTGCTTTTGAACTGCTAGGTTGTCAGAAGCTGGGACAAGTAATGGGAGCTCACTCCGTTACACGGCAGTAGGGATTCAAACTGCCAAACTGCCGACCTTTCTGATCCAGAAGCTCAGAGTCTTAGCCACTGAGCCACCATTCCCCACCTTCTATAAAATGCAGCTAATATTGAACTATCCCATAAATCTTGGGGGGGGGGGGGAAGCAGACTTATAAATCAAGGCAATCAGTGTGGTGCATTGTGTTAAAAGAACAGCATAAAAGAGAGAAACATAAAAGCTTTGATACCTGCAGGTGTAATTTGGAGTTTACAGTCTTTCACATCTGGGCAGCCAGCTGTTACTGTTCCTTCCACTGAAGAAGCATGCATGCACACTGTTAATCCAGCACTTAGATCATTATTTTCTCTTCCCTAAAGAGAAAAAAGTTAACCACATTTTAATATTGGATCTAGAAAACTGGGTCTTTGACTATTGCTTGTTTCTGAAAAGCTACACATTTTTAATGTTCTAGTTTGTGTACAGACTTTTCACACTTTTTTTTTTAATTTCAACAGTTGGGCTGTGACCGTAGTAAGACTCTGGTAGACATCTGTGGAGAGAAGGAATTTCAGGCTTTGGTGTGTGATGCGCTCACTGTGCCAATAAGGAGTGGTTCTTGTGATGCTTGCATATCCATTGCAGTCATCCATCATTTTTCAACAGCGGTAAGTTAAAGCTACCTAAAAGTAGAACAATTGTAATATAGTTTATCCTTCTGTTTCATGGTTATCATTGTTGTTGTTTTCATTCCAGGGAGCTGTGATTCCCAGTTCCATTTTTGAAGCTCCCAAAGCACTTCCAGATTGCTCCTTTGATTTTTACATCACAGTTATTGGTGCCATTGAATTAAGGCTTACCATGTTCATTTTTTTTTGTCTGTAACTATTTTCTGGGGTGGGATTAGGAGTAAGAAAGAAAAAAGAAAAGAAATTCTGGGGAGCCTTTCCATCCTGTGAAATTCTTGTACCAGGAAAGTTCTTCTAAGTTTCTTAATATCCCGTAAGGTAAAGGTAAAGGTTCCCCTTGCACATTCCATTCCATTCCATTTATTAGACTTGTATGCCGCCCTATTCCCCGGAGGGACTCAGGGCGGCCGCCCTATTCCCCGGAGGGACTCAGGACGGCGAACAGACATATGGGAAAGGGGACAATACAAAAAACAAATGAAACAAGACAGGATACAGAGACAAATTAAAACTACACAACAGTCAACAATTCGAGTGGGGCTGGGAACTCATCAGCCCCAGGCCTGCCAGAACAGCCAGGTCTTAACGGCTTTGCGGAAAGCCTGGAGGGTGGTGAGGATCCGAATCTCCACGGGGAGATCGTTCCAAAGGGCCAGAGCAGCCACCAGGAAAGGCCAGTCGACATTGGCTGGCTGATGGTATCCGGAGGAGGCCTAATCTGTGGGATCTGATTGGTCAAAGGGAGGTGCTAGTTGTTCCCGACTCTAGAGGGCGGTGTTCATCTCTGTTTCAAAGCCTAAAAGAGCCAGCGCTGTCCGAAGACGTCTCCATGGTCATGCGGCTGGCATGACTAACTGCAGTTCCTGAGCAGTTCCTGGGGGCCCAAAATGCAGTCATGTGACCGCAGGGCATGGACAATTCTCAGAAAGTGGTCATAATTCTGTCATGACTTCAAATGATTGCTAAGCAACAACCGGTTTAAGTTGAGGACTGCCTGTAATGAAAATAGTTCTTGGTTCTTTCTTTCAATTAAGTTGTTTACATGTTACATGTTATGGTATCTGTTCCTTGTTCTGTGGGTTTGTTTATTTTATGGTTGGCTGGATTTTTTAAAATAAATATTTAATTGTATATTCATTATATTATATTAATTTCATTGATATATAATTCTATTAAATAGCTGAAAAGCAAGGAAGATGTATAATTTAAAAAGTAGAAGTAAACAGACTACAGAATAATACAGTGCTCCTAATTCTCTGAGCTCGGCCTTGTGTTTTGTTTCTGTTCTGAGTACAGTTTTTGTTTTGTTTTGTTATGTTTTACCTTTAAGATGAGTATATGCGTTTCTCTCCCATGATTAGGAGAGGAGGCTGGCTGTGCTCTGTGAACTGACTCGGCTGCTGAGACCTGGTGGAAAAGCACTTGTTTACGTTTGGGCTATGGAGCAGGAATACAAGGAGCAGAAGTCGAAGTATCTGAAAGGGGAAAAAGTTAGCGATAAAAGGCTTGGCAAAGCTGTCAGCGGCATGCTGAATAAAACAGGCAGCACCGAATGCCAAGGTTTGGCACAGCCCAGCAAGGACTGTAATGAGCCTAAGGGGACAAGCAATAGCCCAAGCCAGGTGGTTCCTGCCAGCCTTCCAGTTCATACAAATAGAACTTCCTTTGAAACTCAAGATGTTTTGGTCCCTTGGCACCTGAAAGATGGGATGAAGAAGAAGACAAGGCATACTGAACTTTGTCAGCCTCTGGATGGCGCTATATCTGCTCCAGAACCCAACCCTGTTTTTCACCGCTATTACCACGTCTTCTGTGAGGGTGAACTGGAACAGCTGTGTAAACAGTTAGACTGCATAAAGGTGGAAGGAAGTTATTATGACCAAGGAAACTGGTGTGTGGTTCTTGAAAAGCAGTGATGGCTTCACAGTTCCACGGAGGCAGCTGTGTCTTTGATGGATTTATTGATACAATTAATTCCACGGGTATTTCTAAAACATGGTTGGCTACCCTGGCATTTGGCGGTTGTTCTTATATTTTAAAAAAATAAACAAATACCACTTTTACATGCTTCGAGGAGAGCGAGCTGTTTTTCTTCCCCTATTTATGAAATTCTAGCTTGATGATCAGATTTCACAATCATCCTTGCAATTTACAGAGGTGTTGGTTCTAGGATAGTAAAGGCCAACCTTTTCAGCACCAAGTGCTGAAACGAAAGCACAGACATGGGGGAGTTCCAGAAACTGGAAGAGATGCTCCCTGGTGTGCATACGCGCACCGGGAAGCTGAGTTTCTGGTTTCCGGTGCGTGCCAGCTACCTAGTCTTTCAGTTTCTGGCATGCAGGCGTGCACAAATACCAGCTGGTCAGCATGCACGCGCATGCTAAAAACCAGAAGTTCAGCTTCCTGGCGCACGCATGCGCACTGAGCTGCTCTTCCCATTTCTGGCATTCCCGCACACTGAATACCAGCTGGCCAGCACATGCGCGCACCAGAACCCGGAAGAGCAATGGGCTACGGCTGGCATGCCCAGAGAGATGGCTCTGTGTGTCTCTTCAGGCATGCATGCCATAGGTTTACCATCACGGTTCTAGAGATGAGATCAAATACTGAAAGCTTCTGATTTGATGCGCTCATATGCAGTGGAACAATTGAGAAAGGGCAAACTTATGGAAGGATTTAAATGACTATTTTATTTAGCAAAACTAGCGGGTTATAATGAATTCTGGTCCTGTGCACCTGGTGCAGGCCAAAACAAACATCATAGGAAACCATACCTCAAACCATCATAGGGATTTGATCAAAGAAACACAGAGCATGTGCTCAATATAATGAAACAAAGAAATGTATTTGTACCTAATGCAGGAGCAGGCTTGGAATGGTTTCAGAGTAGAAGAAGCAACAATGGTGCATTTTGAAAGGTAATATACTGTAATATCTTTGGTTCAAGGCAGTGCCAGCATTCTATTGTTATTCTAGCAAGCTTATCCATTGTCTCCTTCACCTCAATAATTGCAGAAAAAGAGAAATAAGAGGCCAACTGGCACGTTCCCATGTACTTAGCAATCTCCCACAACATTAAATATGGTTGTGAATTTTAAAGGTGTTTGGAAAAGGACCTGTGGATCTTTAACTATATGTAGCCTTGCCATTATATTTGGTTGGTGTCTATAAGTGCTTAAGATACAAACATCACTGGCATAGAAATCAATCAAATTAATATAGAATGAGAGAGCGGGGGAGAGAAAGGCACAGATACATAATATTTTCTAGTGAATATTCCACTAATTTTCATTACTATAAATGATTCTATGTAGATAGGTGATACAGAATAGGATACAGAATATCAGAAGTCAAAGGTTCAGAAGACCATTTCTATTTCTTCCCCAGCTTTATATTAACATCAACACTTCCATCTTTTAAATTGATACTAGACAACTTGTGACCCATGTGTCATTGTTTCAGAGATATTTCCTTAATTGAACAGAGAAATATAGTAGCCATGACAGGCAAAAAAGCAGTGGGATCAACTTCCAATTTCCTTCCTTTTGAGTTTCTGGTAGAAAGCTGGCTGCTAGCCCTGGAAACCATTTTTAGCATTGGAGTTTCAAGGCTGCCTCATTTAGTGACCGGGAAAACGGGAGGTGGGATTGCACGGAGTGGTGGAAGATTAACCATAACAACATTCCTTTCTCTGGGAGTCAAGGGCATTCGGCCAGCACCTGGATGGGAGTGACTGGAGGTTGTCTCTACTTGGGATGGTGAATTGATTGGACCATGTGATGGACTTGTGGGTGCAGGGCAGGGGTGAAATCCAGCAGGTTCTGACAGGTTCTGGAGAACCGGTAGCAGAAATTATGAATAGTTCGGAGAATGGGCAAATGCCACCTCTGGCTGCCCCCAGAGTGGGGTGGGAATGGAGATTTTGCAGTATCCTTCCCCTGGAGTAGGGTGGGAATGGAGATTTTGCAGTATCCTTCCCCTGCCACGCCCACCAAGCCATGCCCACAGAACTGGTAGTAAAAAAAAATGAATTTCACTACTGGTGCAGGGGATGGATCTTTGACTTTCTTTTGGATGGGGAAAACCTGGAAACTTTCAGATTGGGGTTTTTCCAGATGTGCCAATATGACATCTCTAATAAAATGGAACTTTGAGGAACTTCAAGCCTTGGAGTCTTCTTTTGTTGAGGGTGTTACTTGCAACCCTGACATTAACAGAATCCTCGACACTGGCAGGGAACATTGGAAATTCCCTTCCCCTTGCATTCTTCCAGGAGACAAGGAAATAATTGCATAAGTAACCAGGAAGAGATCAAGGAACATTGTAAATGAGGATCACGTAATTGCAGTGACTGAAGCAGACACAGCTTCCCCAAATTTCATTCCCTTAGGAGTACAATGTCCTGGCATTTTGAAAGTTAGTCCATTTGAATGATCTCAGTTCAATAATTATTGATCTATACCATCTAATTTTGTCTAATTGAAAGTTGCAAAACACACATGACCATTGTACTCTATAGATGCAGCAGAAAGCTTGCATAAATACGAGAGTGGTATTTCTATGAAATTTAGAGCCCTGGATGCACCAAGTTTAAAACTGGTGGTGGTGGGTGGGGGAGAGGGAACACAACACAAAAAAATAATAGTAGTATCTTTATTACCAAAAAGTAATTTTTAATAAAGTATGTTACAAGATACATGCTATTTCATTTGCAAAATAAAATATACACACAATTAAAATCTAATTAGGCCTCAACACAACTCACAGTAAATGAATCTAGTCCAATAAGCTAAATCTAAGTGGCACAATATACTTAAACTAAACATCCTATCATATCCAAATAATAGACGTGAGTGAATATAATCAGGTTCAAGAATCCTGCTTCCATGGAAATAATAATAAACAATACCATGTTGTTATTTGATGAATCAATCAAGTTTTACATTAGATCCAGAACCAGACTGCAACAAGTAAATTATATTACTAGATCCCTGCAAGAGAATACAAGTAGTCCTCAAAGTACGAGCCTGGAATGATTGTCAGAAGTTATGGTGGTTGTTAATGCACATAGGATTGCCTTGCTTAAAGGCCACAATCCCAGCTCTGCCAAGTTCAGTTGTTAAGCAGAGCAAGGGGTGCCTTGGGTGGGTGGGTGGGGAAGACATCTTGGGAGACTTGGTGCAATCAGACTGTGGATCCTACCTAGCTCATATGAGGCCTGTTAAACCCCAAAGCTGTCTCCCATATGCTTTTTGCCCAGGACCTCAAGCGGTGCGATCTTGTCCACCATTAAAACTATCTTTCCAGGCGGCCACCATCTTCCCAGTGTCTTTCTCCCCACTTGGAACTGAACCTAGAAGGACATCTCTTCCAACAAAGGAAAATGCAGGGCAATTACATAAATCGAATAAATACCCCGTTTCCCCGAAAATAAGACCTCAGCAGATAATAAGCCCAATCGGGCTTTGGAGCGCATGCGCTAAAATAAGCTCTCCCCTGAAAATAAGCCCTCCCCCCCCCAAATATTGCAACTCAGCAGCAAGCCATGAGGTGACCATGTTCGCCGCCTCCTGTACCTCAAAAATAATAAGACCTCCCCGAAAATAAGGCCAAACGTTATTTCGGGGGTCAAAAGAAAATAAGACCCTGTCTTATTTTCGGGGAAATGCAGTAAGTTACAAAAAATAATACATGTTCCAAGCCTTAAGAGGGTTTTTGTTTTGTTTTTTTTAAGTTCTTGAAATTAACCCAAATAATTCAAGATGTGAAACTGCATATCTGTAAACATTACCTGCTTTTTTCAACTGCCTTTAAAATAAAAATCACATCCAGCTTTTGAACACACTTACTTGGGAACCACATTTTTCTACGTTTAGAATTTGCTGAGTTTTTAGACGAAAGAGCCAAGAATTCTGTAACTTTAAGAGGTTCTGACAGAGGAGTAATATGAGGTCAATGCAATTTAGCAAAGAAGCACCCTTAGTTTTAATAGGAGTGGAGCTGGGATTTGGTTGCTGTTCTGAACTCTTGATATCAATGCATTAATATGAATAAATAACAGCTAGGTCCAACTCCCCTAGTCTTTGTTTCTTTCTTGCAGGAGGCTTGACTTAATTAGCTAAGACCTAAGTCTGCTCCCTTTAATTATGCCAGTCTACAATTTGAGATTCAGAAGAAGTTGGAAATGAAAGGGAAACCTGTTTGAGAAGTATATCCATGTGTGGAGACGAGACTGGCTGAGGATAATGGCTTTGGTGAAGGTCAAAAAGAGAGCTGCAGGTAATGAGACAACATACTAACTAGTTGAAAAGTTGGAGGGCCAGGAGAAGATATAAAGTGAAAGAATTGGGTTAATGCTGCTGCAGCAGGGGCTTAATGGCGTCAGATAAATGAGCATGACAGTGGGAAGCTGAGACAAATGGTAGCCAATTAAATGGAGTCAGCCCAGTGGAATGGGAAGTGAGATGGGTGCAATTAAAATAAATGACCATGGGTAGATATTAAATATAGTACAGAAGCACAGCCATCACTCTGCCTGGCATGGACAAATAAGAGATCGCTCAAGTCAGTTGGGAAGCAGACAATTGCAAATGTCTGCAAAAGTAGTAGCTGGAGGCGAAAAAGGCGCATTGAGCACTGATTTAGAAAATATAGATGTATTTTGTCCACAGCCTGGCAGAAATCTGAAAATTGGGCTTTTTAATATGCCCTGTTTTTGAGTGACATAAAATACCCCATCAATTCATGATAGCAATTAAACGCTATGTATGAGCTATATTTAAATGAAGTGAATATCCAAGAAGAATGGAGAAAAGGCAGGAGTGAGATTCAGCAGGTTCTGACCGGTTCTGGAGAACTGGTAGCGGAAATTTTGAGTAGTTCGGCAAATACCACCTCTGGCTGGCCCCAGACTGGGGTGGGAATGGAGATTTTGCAGTATCCTTCCCCTGCCCCGCCCACCAAGCCCCGCCCACAGTACCAGTAGTAAAACAAATGGAATTTCAGCACTGAGAAAAGGAGTCCAGATCTGTTGAGCTTCTAACAGTCTTTTGATCTATCAAAATCAACCAGTGAGGTTCTTTACTTATGCAATTAAATAATTCCTTATATTTTCAATGCTTAATCTTATTCAGATATTGACAAAATTTAATACTATTGTACACTCCAGAATGTTAGTATGCTAAATAGAGTTGAAGTTTACTGATTGTTCTTTTGAATTAGTCTGCTTTTTGCCATTAATCATATTTTGATTAATTTTTACCATTTATTCTGATTTAATTACCATAGTCAATTATCTTGCAATGCTTCATTTTTTTGTGCTTTAATGCATGCATCATTAAATATTATGTTATCATTGAGTTTGTTAGGTCACCTCCCCCTTAAAAAAACTATTATGTTCAAAATAAATTTTAAAAATTAATCAAAATATGATTAATGGCAAAAAGCAGACTAATTCAAAAGAAC